AGAGTGTGAGGGGCGAATTGAATAATCCGGAAAATGGGGGTAGTGGGAAGCTGGAACCACGTCTTCATGGCTAGTGCGCCTGCAATTACAGTATTTGTTCAACATATTTAAATTACATATCTAACACATAAATTTCAATTTTTACATACATAGCACCTTTTTATACATTAAAAATGTTCATTTCACTTTTTTTAAAGTTAAAATGGTGTTGTTTTTTCTGTAATATGAAAATTTTGGGCTGTTTAAATGCAAAAGAAAAGTAAAGTTTTAAGTGTGAGATATGTAAATACATAAAATTTGGGTGGTATGAAAGTAAATGCCCCCATTTTAAATTTATTCAATTTATTTTATGATATGATATAAAAATTGGATGGTCTCTAATAAACCATTAAGCTTTTAAGTCAGTAAGGCCTTTAGTCACCTATTGCTCTACCATAGAGTTTAAATCTCATCAAATTGACTAATTCAATGTTTCTATCTCAAACATAGGCATATGTTTTAATAGAGAATCGAGCACTAATACATTTCATTTTTATGCACATCAAATGACTTTTGCATATTTACATATCCACCGCATGAACTTTCATGTTTACATACAACACACTCAAATCTTTAATATTACATAAAAATATCATCATTACTTACTTTTTTGAAGTGAAACGTGTATTTTCATGTATAGATTTATGACACTAAAGTATTATATATATAAGTACAAAGTTTTGGTGTTAGGTGTTAAAAATTATGTGGTATGTATGTGTACATCAAGAATGTGCTAGCACGGGATGAGATCCAAGGGTCAGCCAGTTGACCAAACTAACATTACCGAGTCGATGTCATGGTAGCCTACCTAATCGAGTTATAGGGCAACTGAGCAATGTGGGCATTAAGAAGGATGAAGTAGATGTTCAAGATTCAATATTGGCTAAATCAAAATTAATAAAAAGATTTAATTAAATATGCCCTAGTTCGCATGGATGCTTCGTCGATATATAGGACTCAAGTAACATTGTCGATTGTCACTCCTTTATCAGGTTTGCTTGACTCAAAAAAGTTCGCTAAGAAGTTAGCTATGACTTGGGTTTTGATGATGTTTCGCGCCACGTATGAGAGATATAACTCGCTTAGTTCCACCGTCCGTTTGAGAAGCCTACCGGAGTGGTCCGGCCTGGTGAGGATATATTTGAGTGGGTGGTCGGTGAAGATCATTACCGGTTGCACTTGGAAATAAAGGTGAAGCCTACAAACAAAAATAATAATTTTTCCATAATTAGATACCAGATTTCGGCTTCTCAAATGACTCGGCTGACATAATAGGCAGGGAATTGCCTCAGTTGCTCCTCTCAGAATTAAATCGAGCTTATGACTTCAAGTCTGACTCTGAAATACAGACATTTGGCTTTAGTTTTGAAAGAGCAGTAATGATGCGAAGGAGTCTTTTAAATTTCTGAATGCTTGTTTACATTCATTTGCCCATACGAAATTCTTTGTTAATCTCAACATTTTAAAGAAAGCAATGCACTTATCGCCCAATTTTGAGATGAATTAGCTGAGGTCGGCAATCCAACCAGTCAATTTTTGGACCTCCATAGTATTTCAGGAGGATGACATGTTGATCAGCTCTGAACCTTTTTTGAGTTAGCCTTTATTTCCTCTTGGTTTAAACGATAGCCTAAGAATTTGTATGTGGATGCTCCAAATCTTTACTTGAGAGGATTGAGCTTCATATAAAATTTCTTAAAGTTTTGAAGAACTCGTTTAGATCTTTCATGTGTTACTCGTATATTTTATTTTTAACAAAGATATCATCTACATACACTTCAACATTCTTTTTTCTTCTTATTTAACGAAGTTACACCCATTATGCGCAAATAGGTAGCACCATCATTTTTTAGCCCAATTAGCATTACAGCATAACAATACACTCCCTCATTTGTGATGAATGCAGTGTTCTTAGTGTCGACCAGATATATTTTGATCTGATTGTAGTTGGAAAAGACATTGAGAAAGCTCATCACGGAATGACTAACAGCTGCATCCATGAGCACATTGATCTATGGCAGGGTTAGTTGTCCTTCAAGCAAAGCAGGGTTAGTTGTCCTTCAAGCAAGCGATGTTCAGATCGGTGAAAGTCGATATAAATAGTCCATTTGTTGTTCGATTTTTGTGTCATGACAATGTTTGAAACCAATGTTGGGTATTGAACCTCTCAAATGTAAGCGGTCTCCAACATCTTTTGAACCTCCTCTCAAATCAACTCAGTAAATTTACGTCCTCACATTATGATTGATCCGTCGGGCTGGCGGGTTGATGTTCAAGCGGTGGCAGGTGATGCTGATTAGTATCCCAGGCATCTTAGCGGAAGACTGTCAATCAGTACGTTTGTGTGGCTTACATCAAAAGATTCACTTAGCAAAAAAATTTATCAGTGTCATAATTGGTCTCATGGATCTGATGAGTGATCTCGCTAATCTCGAGACCTCCTTATCACAGCTTATCAAGCTCCAAGAGTTTCAGTCAGCATTTCTAACCACCTAGAGATAACAAATTTGAGACTATTCGAGATCATCGTGGACATCTATCATGTCTCTGTCGCCTTGGAACTTCGTAGTGACATGGTTGGTAAAAGTGAAGAGCTTAAAAGGGTTGAGTTTTTTAAGAATTATAAGCACTATCAAGTTGGGTCAAAATCTTTCGTTTGAAGTCAGCAAACAATGTGATTACTCTGGATGGTAATCCATTAAACCACAGTCAACTCAAACAAGGTTGTGTGGTTGGTCGTATCGTTCTACCCCTTGTGGGACTCGTGTATTGTGATCTTGAATCGCTATGAGGGTTCAAGCTTAGATATTTGTCATCAGAACGCATTCACAGGCTGATGGAGCACCTCGACACGCTTAATATGATGTCGATTGAACGGTGTCGACCCAACGGAGTCAATGTACTCAGAGTCTCCATCCCCTTCCAAAGCTGGGGGATTCTTCTATCATTGGGCGCCACTCCTTCTTCTCAAGGATTTTGGTCTTTTGCACGAGTTAGCATGCCTCGGATGACATATAACATCTTATCCTTCAACTCCTGAATCTGCTGGGTCACAAATTTTATGGTGCAATCCATATTGTCAATGCCTCTACTATGTGTTTCTTCTCTTTTTGAATACCCCTTTTTTTTATTTGTGACATGATCCACGCTCACCGTATTTATAAAATGTTGAATCTAGATTTGTTCATGAATCACGCCCAATGAAAAGAGTATAAGGACATATCAATAGAGAGAAAGAAGAGAAAATGACTAGTAATTCATAGTGTCTTATTCATAAAATAATTCACCTAGTTACAAAGGAGAAGATACAATGATGATATTACATTTTTGCTCTTGCTTTACTGGGGCCTGTACCAATGTATTTCTGGTATTTTACATGTATGAGCATGTCATCCGACTACTTTTCGGCTTAACCGACTAAGCTTAGTAGTCCTTGAGTCGATAGAAACAACTTGGTTGGTTCAGCTTTAGTCGGCATGGTTTGAGTGACTAATATGGTCTGGTTGTCAATCTGTGATCCTTCATGAGGAACATTTGGGGCGCCTCTGGGATGGTGGGAGATGTCGTGGAACTATATATTCTCTTGGATCGGCTCTACTGGAAAGTTGGCTATCACACGGGCTTGTAGTGGTTGATTCGAATCATCTAGTTGTCTTCTTATCCGCCTCGCAACTCGGTCAATTTTAACCTTGTTGGCTTGGCTCGGGCAACGTCATTCATTCAGGCAAGTGGGTCTCACACTCTCCTAACAGTGAGCCAACTTTCACTATACTCTTCTTTTATGAAACGTTTGATCTCTTCGAGATCTATGCTAACACATATTTGATGTATAGATGTAAAAGATATAGATGAATAATAAAAAATAATAATTCTTATTATCAATTAATCGACTTATTTAATAATTGTGGGAGGTGGGAAAAAAATATTATTGAGTCACTCTTCATCTGTTGCCTCATAATTCTTGTATTTACATATCTATCACCTAAAATTTCATGTTTATATTTATAATATTTTAGTGTCCTAACTTTATCCATAAAAAAGTATATTTAATTTTTAAGAAAATTAATAATAGTGACATTTATGATATGATATTAAAAATCAAAGGGTAGTGAATGTAAATATGTAAAAATACATAAATTTGTGTGGTATTTTTATTTATTTCACATTTGAAAGTGACATATTAAAGAATAACTACACCCCATGACCAACGGTGTTTTTCAATAAATAAATAATTTTTTTATGATAAATTTAAATATTAATGATGAGAAGCGATAATAATTGCTTGCGTCAACCTTCATTTTAAACCCCACATTAAAGAAAATTTAACGTATTTGGGACTTTTCAACAACTATAATCATTTAATATATAATTTTAATTTGCAAAATTAAAATTTACAACAATATAGTTTAGACATGATATAAGAAACTTTATGTAACATGATCATTAAAAATATATTTTATTTTTCTCATTTATTATATAAATTTGAATCTAATAATTTTTTTTTCTTTTTGTAAAAGGTGAGCACAAAGGACGATATAAGTAATTTGAATCCGTGTCCTCATGCTGTGCAAGCACGCCTTCAACCACTTTGTCTGCATCATTTATTTATCATGTGTTAATGATGTGTATTCACAATAAATATTGACCTTATTGGCAATTGTATGCATCGATAATATGGTGGGCAATGGAGTTGATAGCATGTGGCTTTCAAAAGGTTATGGTTGGGTGAGTAGAGGCGAGCAACGGAGGCCAAGTGATTTTAAGTGGGTGATACTGAATAGGGGCCCATAATTAGAAAAAAAAATGTTTTCATGATTATAGTTAGGCGATGGTGATTGGTTGCTCATAGATGGGCAACAAAGATCAGAAGATTGCAGTTAAGCAGCAAAGTTTGAGTGCCCATAGTAGGATAGAAGAGATCTTGCAACCATAGTTGGGTGTCAGTGATCGAGAAACCTTATTTGGTCGATATTGGTTTGGTGACTATTGTCAAGAGATTGAGATTGGACGTCAATGATCGATCCTCATAATCAAGTATCAATGGATGGGAAAGTGAGGCTAGATGACCATAATTAGGCGTCAATGATTCGACAATTGTAGTCGAGCAAAAAAGATTGGTAAATGCAGTTGGTGAACATAGATTGGGCCACCCAGTAACACGTTAATGGCAATCCATCAGAATTATAATGGCAAGGATGATTTGAGGATAACATGCAAGTGATGAAAATATAATGACAGTGATTTGGTAGCTAAGGCTAGATGGTGTTGGACTGACAACAAGTCAACGACAAGAGTTGGAGGGTGGAAGTCCAATGACAGAGATATGGGCCATCTAGCTGTGGTTGTTAGATGACGGTGATCCGACAATTCCATCTCGACTGTGATGGTTTTGACAGTGGTGTTTTGTTGATGACAAATGGATAATGTTGGTTGGTCGGTAATAACCTAGCAATAATAATATGACACTGACTACCTAATAACAATAATTTAGCGACAAATACTCCAACTACATTGGCTAGATAGAGATTAATGATCATCAAGATTTTTGAGCTCTCTCTCATATTTGATTTAGCTCTAATCCTTCAACTCTTCATTTATGTAAAAGGGAATGGTTTATTTATAGATTTTGGGAGAGACGTCTCTGTAAATACCACCAAAACTCAAAATACTCTATGGGACGGCACAGAGATATAAATATACATGCATAAATCATTTGTCGAACATCATATTGAGTAAAATAAAACATAATTGAAGCAACTCAATAGAATTGGAGTTGGTCAAATCAAAATTACTATTAAACCACATTTGTATTTGGAACATTACCATATTCCTTACAACCATAAAGGTCATGAGAGTTGTCTGCCCTCAAATCTTATCCAATCATGTTGACAATATCAAAATTCATGAGAAGTCACAACTATAATTTGATCAAATAAGTCAACATTAACGATTTAAAATATCAAATAATTAAATTTATTTTATTTTGGAGTAAATGCCACCAATAATGGTTTCCCATAATGGCCGGTGGGTTGAGTAATGTCACCGCCAAGCAATGCGTTGACTTCTTATGAATCGTAATGAAGCTCCACAAGAGCAATAGGAGGCATTTACATCCCTACCACTCGTCCACATGCATATTTACATATCTAACACCTATGATTCATTTCTTGACGTTTATGCTACTCAGAATTTTCATATCACATCGGAAATACTGTTATTTGAACTTTAAAAATGTGGAATGGATATTTTTGTGCATATGTAAGATGTGAAAATTGAAATCTAGGTGTTAGATATATAGATACAATTCATACCTTAGATATGCAAAGCAATAATCTTATATATATATATTTGTGTGTGCCGCGTACTCAGATTAGTTGGTCAGACATCTACTTGTCAGTTGTAAGTCCCCTCTAATCTGGGTTCGAATTCCCCCGAGTGTAAGGTGTAGTAATCGAATTCTTAGGCGCATGAGGGATGGTCGGGGCTCATAAAATAGCCTCCGGGCATTCCTTTTGAATCTCTCTCTCTCTCTCTCTCTCCATAAGACCCCTCAGCTTGGGGGTTCGAATCCCTTCTGGCACAATTAGACTTAAGAAGATGATACTCGAATTGTTAGACACATTAGAGGCAGCTGGAGGCTCATATAATAGCCTCTAGTCATTCTTAAAAAATAATAATAATAAAATAAAATAAATAAAGGACACACACAAATTAGCAGCAAAATATTTTCACTAAATTCAAATTAAGGATCAGTGACTTACTCTTCATTACATTTACAACAACACATCCGAAAAATAATGAAAAATAATAATCAAAGTTCATTAACAAACATTTCATCTGAACAAACATTTACACTAAGCCTGCAATTTTCAAAAAACAAAATTTACATTCTGCATCTCAAGCACACTCTTCTGCAAGCTCTATCTCCCCCTCTCCATTCTCCTCAGATGTCTTCAGATGATCAAAAAACGAAAAGAGACACCAGGCACAATCATCATTCCAGTTCCCCCGATTGGCCGCCGCTCTCCATTGTTGGTCGATGATCATCTCCGGCGAGAGTCCCCAGCTCTCGAGCTCTGTCTTGGTGTGGTGGATGGCAAGGCTGTAGTCACCACTCTGACTGAGCTGCATCACTCGGAACTCGCAGTTGCCGAAGTTGTTCAGCCGCTCGAATTGCTCCACGGTCCACTTGAACCATTTCATGAGGAAGACTCGGGAGGTCAGGCCATGGGAGATGATTACCAGGTTGGTTTCCGAGTTTTCGCCCTGCTCCAGTCTTCTCATGTCGATGTCCCTCCAAAGGGATTCCATAAAACCTGGGAAAAGCATTCAAAAATTTTAAATTTATTAGCTTTTTGATTTTGGAGCCATCAGATTTTTAAAACTTTTGTTTTGGTGTGAAATGAAAATTACATGCTTAAGAAGAAAAGGAGACAACGTTGAGTTCATCATCATGGTGGGAGTTTGAGTGAAAAAAGAGGAAAATCTCAACCTAATAACAAGAAGAAATTGCTACATAAAATGAAAAAGGGCGACATTTACCTAACATAACACAGTGTTCTTGTGTATTTACATATCTAACACCTACATTTTACTTTTTACATTTATACCACATATATCTTTCATATTTGCATTTATACATAACGGTGCTCTTATGTTTTAAGATTGAGTTATACTGTTTCTCTCCTATGTACAATATGTTAATCTGAGTCCTGGCTGTTAATATTGCACCAAACTTTTAAAATTATAGATATTTTTTGGAATACATAAAAATATTTTTCTAAAAGTTGAAAGCTAGATATAATATATTAAATATGTTATATTGGTTTCATATCATATGTACATGAAATAATGTATGTAAGAAAAAATATTAACAAATTCCATTTTAATATTGAAAAAAGCCTATGCATCCTTACTTGAATCTTTAAAAAAATATTAGAGAAGCAGTATTAAGCCAAATTAAACTGTTTTCAAAATTCAACTTCCATCACAAATTTTTGAGAAAATCTAGAATTTCAGGAGTCAAAACATGTTCAAGATTCTACAAGCTACAAATCATCAAATATACATGATGTAAGAAATTTACTTTTAGAATTTTTTTTTATTTTGTTCTTTGTTATTGTAATCATGTAAAGGTTTTTAAGAGAAGGGTGCTCTTCCTCTTGAAGGAAGAAGGTTGTAACAGTTTCTCCATTGAGCAATTAGACAAGGAATGTTTTGGGCCTGTGGAATCCTAAGCAAAAGTGGCTTAGGCCTAAATATAGACCAATTTTAGGCAGAGTCATGCAAAAATCATTATGTTACTTATACTTCATTCCTCGGTTGTGCCGCAGCCATCAAACCTATTTCACAATTTGTTGCAGTCTACTTAATAATCCACAATCTCCATTCATTCTTCTAGAGTGTTCTACAAAGTTGCCTTTATTAAAAGTGTCACTCATGTTATCTTGTTATCTCAGATGAAAATATAATAAGAAATTTAATGCTTGAGCTCTATTGAATAATCATAAAATTGTGAGCATTCACCAAAATAACTCACTTTTTGAGGATAATTACCCAAGGATTTACTACAGGTTCCAATTCACTAAACTCCTGGAATCACTTGTAAAGACAGATTGATGAAAAGGATTTGAATTAGCATTGAAGTCAAACAAGTTCAACTCCATCTTATAATCTTATTTCTATGAATATTAAATATGTTATAAATAATCTGTTAAAAAAAATTCACAAATTCCTTTTTAATATTTTAAAATGCCTATGTATCCTTACCTGGACTTTTACAATTCTCTACAAACTCATTTCTAGAGCTATGCTAAGTGGCCAAGGAAGTTACATCAACCCGGCTCCACTAACTTCAGCGAACTTAGGAAACGGTTTTTACAGGGGCTCCACAATGTCCCACGATAAAAGATAACGACAAATTAAAAAATTCATGACATTTAAGTGTAATAAAAACTAACTTAGCCAATTTGACTGAACTTTTAACCTATTGCATGCCTATATACTCCACTCTTGTAACAAAAATTAACCATTAAGGCTACATCAGCAACTCCTTTTTGCAAAATTTAACTTCCTAGACATATTTCATTACGATTATTGAGATGAGCTTGAATTTCAAAGGTCGAAACATGTTTATGATTTTATGTGCTGCATATGTTGAATATACATAATGTAAGATGTTTTCTTGTTGTATTTTATTTTGCTCTTCGCTCTTGTAATCATCTAAAGGTTCTTTAAGAGAAACTTTGAATAAGTGATTTATAGAGGTCCCCTTGCCAAAAACTGAGGATAGGGTGCTCTTCCTTTTGAGGGAAGAAGGTTGTAACAATTTCTCTACAGGGTTATTAGTGAAGTAATGTTTTGGGTCCATGGAATCCTAAGCAAAAGTGTTCTTAGGCCTAAATATAGACCAATTTAGGTCCTTAACTTCTGGGTTGTGTCACAAACATCAAACCTATTCCACTATCGGTTGCAGTCTACTTGATAAAATCCACAACCTCCATTTATTCTTTTCATGTCTTTAGGGAAGTTTTCTTTATCTAGTATCTTGGAAGAAAAAATACGAAGATTTGCATACATACCCATATCTAACACATAAAATTTGATATTTGCACTTATATCACCTTGGTTTCATAAACCTATGCATGAAAAAGGTGTATTTTACTTTTATAAAAGATAATGATAGTGATATTTTTTATATGATTTTAAACATGTGTGATGCATACAACACAATTCTTATGTATTTGCATATCTAAAGATAAAAAATTGAAATTTGCACTTATAACACCTTGGTGTCATAAACCTATGCATGAAAAAGGTGTATTTCACTTTTATAAAAGATAATGATGGTAATATTTTTTATATGATGTTAAAGATGCACACCACATAAATCTTATGTATTTACATACCAAATGTATAAAATTTGATATTTGCACTTATAACACATAAACCTACGCATGAAAAGGTGTATTTCACTATTATAAAAAGATAATGATAGTGATATTTTTGATGTGATATTAGCTATTTGAGTGGTAAGCATGTAATTATGAATGTTTAATACTAAAGCTCTATCCCATAGTCATGAAGTTGCAAACATTCAACAAAACTGCTCCTGCTTCGCAGAAAACTATCCAACCATTCACAACAAATTCAAATTCACAAAACCATGAATCATTCCTAAAAACAAAACCAGAAAAATTAATCTCACTGGAAACACGATCGAAAACATCTGCAGCAGACTCCCCATCAGGAAAGCGAAAGAAGAACCTTCCGAAACGCTGCCTTGTCTCCTTAACAGCCATCATCCTCTCCTCCACCTGAAAATTCCCAAAATCCTGCTCACGCACCCTGCATTCCTCCCTCGCCCCAATTATCTTCTCCTTCGGGAATGCTCGTCCGATCTCCCTCAGCGTCGCTCGAGTCCTCGCGTAAGGCGAAACGTAGAAATACACCTTCCAGTCGGCGGTCCGCCCGCCATCGGAGACGACTCCATGTATGCCCTCGCCGGCGGCGCGCGCCTGCGCGACGCCGAGGGGCGTAAGCGGGATCTTGTAGTCCGGCGTGGTGGTGTACGCCGAACTATCAAGATTGCCCTGGCTCTCTCCGTGTCGCACCAGGATGATCCTCTTCGGCAGCCTTCTGACCGGCCGGCTAAAGCTGCAAGTGCTGCTCATGCTTCGCCTCGCCGCGTGAACTTAGCATTACTACTGGTTACCCATTAACTTTGCTCTTGGTCGGCTAGTCTTGCATTCAAATTGTAGTTTCTAAAGTTAGGTTGCCGGGTTATTAAGATATCGCGATCAACAATTTATTTATTTTTTATTTTTTTATTTTTTTGTGCCTAGCTAGGCGGTCTTAGAGCCAAGGCTGACTTCATTCAAGTTTATGGCAGGACCCGGGAGATCTTGGTGCCACAGTCCGTTAGTCATCTTTTCGCGATTAGTATGTCGGTCTTAGCGTCCCGACTGGTTATCTTTTGTATTTGGGCACGGTCAGGCGGCTCAAGCACCACGACCTACCTATCTTTAATTTTTACTCAAACGGGTGAGCTTGACACCACAATTGACAGTCTTCAATTTATGGGTGAGGCCGAGCGATCTTGGTGTTGTGGCCTGCCGGTCTTTAATTTTTGCTCAGGCAATCAATCTTGGTGCAACGACCTTAACAAACTATACTAAGAAAAATCTCTTTAAATCAACAAAGTTGCTAATACTCCCAACCGGAAGTGCATGGAACTACTTTAAGGCTGACAACCTCAAAATGGTGAAAAGCAGACATCACTTGAACGAGTTTGAGATCTCGAGCAAGCACACGGCTGACTCAAATGCAGTGATATAGTTAATAGGGCCTGACTGCCCCCTGTAAGTCTTAAAAGCCAACCACTTAAATTTTTCAGGGCTCTGCTCCAGAGATCTGGAGGGATATAGAATTCTCTAGCTGACACGGAGCTTCAGTGCACCCTAACGGTTGCCTCTCCACATGCATATATTTTGCACTGTCTTGATACTATGAGTTGCCAACCCCCTTCAACCTCCAATTGTTGTGCGCGGCGCCATCCTTTGTCACTGGTTTTGCTCTTGGGGGCCTGATTTCCTGCTAGGGATGTGATTACCCTCAAGACTTTGACAATTTGGCCCTTCACCTGCTCCAGGATCTGAGTCCTCATCTCTTGCATCCCTCGCTGCATACACTCCTCGATGTCATCACGTGGGAGATCTACATTAGCTACTACTCTTTAATCACCAATTTTATTTGTGATAGTTGCGCTCCTCTTGATTTTGACGTCATGACTCCATGTTTATTGTATTTTTTAGGATGTTGAATCTAAATCTGTCCGGGAAACACACCTAAGGAAAAGAGCGCTGAAGGAGGAGAATGAGGGGGAAAAGAGAGCAATATCAAAATAATGAACAGTAAATTTGCATAACCTTTATTAATGAAATGGACCATCTATTTACATGAATGAGGGTCTATACAATTACATACATAGGCACGACAGAGTTTAGTCTATACAGGAATATAGCCCAAGGGGCTCATGAATAAAGTCCGGTGGCCATTTGTTGAGGATTAGTTTCATCTTCTGTGGAGCTGAATGGTCCGCTTCGCTCATGTGGATTGGAGGGCACTAGATTAGTCTGCATGGATAAGGTCAGGTAACTTTGTTATGGGATAATCTACTTTTTATCCTTCTAGGAACATCAACCTCTCAATACCCAAGAGCTGGTCGGCTGAGCGGATGATTCCAGGTCGCCTTCTATGGGTTCTGTGGGGCCACATCATCTCTTTTGCTAACCATGAGATGTCTTTGAGATTTGTGCTGACACATTTTCAATAAACAATTTCTTGATTTATATTGATTTGATATTCATTAGATTTATATTGAGAGTAAAAAAAGTGTAAAAATAAATAGTCAAATTTTATATTACAACCACCTCAAAATAACTTTCACAGGTATTTACATACACACCCCCAACTTCTATGTATTTGCATAATTATGTCTGTTACATTTATAACATCCCAATTTTTCATATCACATCAAAAAGACAAATTTTTAACTTTTAGCAAGTGTAATGCACCTCTTTATGAATAACTAAGTGTCTACCTGGGACAATTGAAGTTGTTTGAATGTGAGTCAGTGAAGCTGTTGTAGAAGAAATCGATGTTCAAAAGATTGCCATGACTTGAAATTTTATTTTGTTTTCAAAAATCATATCGAAGCATTCTATCAACCACCACACTTAGCTAGATGAGTTTGCAAAAACCAACAAAATGCAGTTTTGCCAAACACATGAAAATATGGCCCGACACCACTCCGCCGCCGCACCGCAGCCTCACAAGCGACCTAAACTTATATGATAAAAAAATTGAGGTTTAGTTGTTAAATCGTAAATACATAAGTATTAAGTGGTTTGTATGTAAATCTTCTTAAATTTAAGGATATAAAACTCTTGTTGACTGAACTTTTATTTTATTTTTTTCTTTCATTTTTAATGTTGGGTTGGTGGCCATGCTGTTGTGAGCCAGATTAGGTAGATCCTGAGAGCAGGAAGCGTAAATAGGCAAATGGGAGTAGTTGACCAACATAGGATGAGGAATCTCTTGCTCTTTCAGGATTCACATCTTCTGTTGAACGAATGCAGAGTTCAGAACAAGGAAGCGCGTGCAGATTAGCTGCATCCAGAGTTGGAGATAAGAAGCTTGTTTAGCAAAAATCCAGCGCATGGCTTGACAAAGGAAGAAAACAACTTATAAAAATGTATTTAAAGTACTTTGAAACTATTTGTTTCTATATATATATATGAAAAAATTTACATTTAAATTTCTTCTATGTATTAAGAATATATAAAATAAAATGATCTTAAATATTGAAAAATATGGTTGAATTTTAGTAATTATTGTAATTCATGATGGCTCTTACAAAACTTAACATTAAAGGAAAATATTAAGGATAACATGTTCACAACAGTTGGAAAAAGAAAACAAAATAAAACTAGTCACCATAAAACAAACTCCCAAACCTAACAAATCAACAATTGACAAAACATTCTAGGAGAAGAGAGAGAGTCACAAGGTCCATCTATAACTTTAGCTATTGGCATATCCCATAGAACACTATCATAGATTAAATCTACAAAACATTTCAATGAAAATTGTCCTTTGAGATAGAGCATCAACTCCTTCAAGCCTTCTTTGTATTACTCCTCTGGACCTGTCGTGCATCCAAATGAAGAACCACTAGAAGAGTATCTCGAGATATCAAATTTCGCATCAACCAACAAATCAAGAGAAGCATAGAAGAGAATAAATATAATAGCCTCAACAACAACAAAAATTTTTCCAACAAAGTGGGGTCGACTGCATGAATCATTTTTCTTCATTATGTCCTACTGAGTGTCATGTTTTCATTTAATTGTAATAAACTAATATATTTATACAACATTTTTCATGACTTTAAGGTTTACTTCTACCTTTCTTAACGTAAATCAAATATAAAATAGCTACTCTTAAAACTGAATAATCAGATTGTCGACGTTTAAAGTGACAAGGCCATCTAAGATGGCGCTCTCTAATTTTGTCTGCCACTTGAGCTACATAGACCCCTTCCTGAATATATTTGTTTCATATTTTTTCTCTAAGTGTAAAATCATTCATCCACCTGAGCATTCTTATCTCAGCAACACTTAGGATAGTTTTTGCTTCTATTTTATAGGCCAACATCTTGCATCATAAAAGCATTGCAATCCTCACCACCATCTTATAAAATTTTCCTTTTAGTTTAACCTTTTAGTTTAAACGGTACTTTTCTATCACACAATAGGCTTGATGCATTTCTCCACTTCAACTATCAAACTTGGACTCTATTAATAACATCCTCATTTCTATCATTATCACTCTGAACAATATATCCTAGATATCTAAAACATTCACCCCGTGTATTGATTTGATTAAAATTATGTTGCTGTATCTATTACTACTAAAATTACAACACATGTATTCAGTTTTAGATCTACTAAACTAAAAGCCTTTAGACTCTAAAGTATGCCTCGAGTAAAGAAGTTGATAATTTGTATTGTCTAATTGTAAGAGTGTTAATCTTTGATTATCCATTATTTCATACATTAAACCCTTAGTTGATGGGCAAACCATAGATGAAATTGATGTTTGGTTTATCCTGAGATTCTAATCACTTTGTTTGATTAGTAACATGAATTAATTTGGCTAAATAAATAGATTCAGCTTATGTTGACCATAAGAGGTATAGCCACCTCAATCAATTTGCAAAAAATTGGTCAAACCATGAGTTATTTTGGGATGAACCAACTTGGGGTTGCTTCTTGGCATCTTGATCAAACTCAATAAACCTTAATGTATGTCAAGTTTGTTAATTGTTTGGGTTAAAATTGGTTGAAAACTTTAGGTTTTCTAAATCAGCTAAATTATACAATGTGTGGTTAAATTCATGGTCAAATGAGGATTATCATGGTCAAGTCAAGTCAAGCCCGTTCTACAGAAGCTCCGTGCTTAATTGAATGAACTGATTTAAAGATTAAGTTCAAACTAGCTTAGCCGACTATCATAGAATTCAATCCAATTAATATGTGATAACTAGGCTAAATTGAAACAAGGAATATTTTGGTAATTGATACAATATCTATCTATCAACATATTATTGTGAGCTCAAGTTCCACTTAATGTTGATATATTTGAAATAAAAAAATAGATTGACCATTTTTAACAGATAAGATATTAAATTTATTAGTTTCGGCTCTAGTGAATTAAATGGCTAACCCATGGATCCAATTGAAATCCTTAAAAATTCTGTCTAACTCATATAAAACATATTCAAGGCTGAGGTTTTTTTGCTCGAGTGAATTAAAAGTTATTAAATCCTTTTTGGTTAAAATGTCCAAAGGACTTAGGTTTTATTTTCATGATTAAGATAGAATCAAAGGTTCACAAAGTTCATACTGACATTTTAATTTTTTATTTTCTTCATTTACATCACTTAAATGATTAACATTACATCAAAATCATCTCTATTTTAGCATTTAAAAAGTTCAATACATAATTCCTCTCCACAAACATGGCTTTACTCTACACTTACACACACACACTCACACACCCACACACACACACACACACACACACACACACACACACACATATGCAAGGTTGTTAGAAA